TATACTCTGAGTTGTTTGATCTCTGCGAGGCAATACAGCACAGTACGGACTTATTTAGTAGCTGGGTTAATGGAAAACATCTGGCTCTCTGATAGTTTAGCAGTTCTGCCAGTAGATGGCACCATTTCTGTTAACATCAGCTCCTTGCTCCCAGTGCTGGACTTCTATTTAGCCTCAAAAAGGACTATCTAAAAACAATCCGGACAGATAGGAGGCTTGGAGTATCAACTTCCATAATCAAGTGTGTTAGGATTATTTACTGATGATATGTGAGCCTGTTAAACCCTAATAAAACCTGCCTGTTGTGTCTTCCTAAGTAGTTCCTCTGACAGGATAAAAAGTCATCTTCATTATGGTACAGAGTTAGGAATGGAATGAGAGCGGTGTCCTTGATCTAAAAACAGTGTAATATTTTGATAAGGCTGGAGCCATGGATGTCTCCTCATTTACAAACTGTATGACGTAATGATATGATGATGTGGCAGACTGTGGCAGACTGGAGATGTATAAAATACTTTAACTTTGACAAGAAGCGAGCCTGGTTGGTAAGCGCTGCCTTCTGTGACCCTAAGCATCTTCTCTGGTCTGAGTAAGATTACAATTTCTGTCAAAATCTGTTGTCCTGTTTCATGGTTATTCAATACATACACGTTATTATGTATTATTTAAAGAGTTTGTCACAAGTGATCTATTCTCAGGAAAAGAACCAGAGAGAGAAAGCTTAAAGGTGTAAGCACAGAGCTTTTCCTTTACAACTGGATTTTGGGGTATTTTCGGTATAGAAATATAGCGTGACTTTATACCTTTAAACATGGTGTGGTCATGGAGGCTGAGCTTTTCCTCTAAAAAAAAAAACAATCCCTTTTTAATAGAGTTCATACTTGCTATAAAACATCAGGAATATTGCAACACTTAAATCCTTCAGTAGATCAGTGCAACTTTGGCACCTGGATGATCAGATCTACAGTCACAGTGTCGGCATGTGGTGTATTATAAATAATATGTGATGTGTGAACTGCCTGTGTTATTGTCTGCACTGATTTTATTTTTTGTCTGCTAATTAAACTAATGATTTTTGCTGACATTGTCTATTGCTGTGTTTCTTTTTCCTTTTTCTTTATGTGAGCGGCCCTCAGTTTTGGAAACACCAACCTGCCCTGGAACTATCGACAAAACTTAGACTATATGGCTAACTCTGGCATATTTAATTTATGAACCAATACTGATTAATATGTTCCATTTTAAATAAATAATTAACTGAATGACTCCAACTTAACTTCAAATTGGCAGATTTTCATAAATGAGCCCTGCTTTTATTATTTTAAAGTCAGCAGAATCTAGTTGATCCATGACATTTACAGAACCTCAACCAATCACAGCAGATAAAGACCAAGACAGGCTATGTGATCTGAAGGATTTTTATATTTTGTAAAATCAACTCCTTGTAACTTGCAAAAAAAAAAAAAAAAACAAGAACTAATGGGAGATACAGTTGGTAGCGTTGTGGTGGATTCAGAAAACCATCCGAGGGTTGCTAGAGTAGACAACAGATCAATACTTGGATGCAACATCGTGAAGAACATTACCAGGATTAAAGGGCTAATGTACAGGCAGGATCTAGAAAAACATATTTATGCATTTATCTTGTTGTCTTCATAGGTTCACCAGACAGCTGCGACTGATCCAAAACGCTACTGCCGGTGTTCTCACTAGAACTAAGAAAGTAGAGCACATCAGCCTGGTTCTGAAGTCCTACTGGCTCACTGTAGAAGGAATGTTAGTCTATAAATCACTGAATGGATCAGCACCTCAATAAATAACAGATTTGTTGTCAGTGTATCAACCTTTCAGACCAATCAGGTCTTCTAGTTCCAGTCTACTCTGTAAACCCAGAACTAGAACCAAACATGGAGAAGCAGCATTTAGTTCAAATGCTCCACTGATCAGGAATAAACTCCCAGAAAACTGTAAAAGTGCTGAAAGTCTGAGTTATTTGAAGTCAAAGTTAAAAACCCATTTGTTTAGAGTTTCCTTTGACTGTTGAAATCAAACCGTTGACTGAGGTATTATTGGTTTAAAGCTGCGGGCCAGCTGTTTTATTTGCTTTACTACCAATTTTTATCATGTTTTATCTCTACTTGCTTTTATTTTTCTTCTAATTTATTTTTTTATTCATGTAAAGCACCTTGAATTGTCCTTGTACTGAAATGTGCTATACAAATAAACTTGCCTTGAGGAGGAAACATATGAGCACAAATGAGCTTCAATTCGTTTCTCTTTTCAAACATGTCTGATTATCCTGGCAGACGTTTGCTCCTGGTTCAGTAAATCCTGAAGCAGATTTTAACAAAACCTGAATGTTTGGAATCTCTGAGATCTCTGCTTTCAGCAGTCATTCTATTTGCTTGTTTTATAGACATGTAGTGAGCTTTGAGAAGGTTTCCAGTTATTACACTTTTTTTTTAAATTGTGTTTACTTGTGGATTCAGTTGCTAAATCAAATGCAGAGTAAAAAAAAGTAATATAGGTTTATATCGACCTGCATCTAAAATCACTGATCTCGGCATGCTGATAAAACCACTACTTCTGTTTAGATTCTGAAACTTACTGGTTAATATTACATGGCTC